CTGGGTGGCACTTCTGCAGCGATGCTGTCCTACTTTACTGGAGGGGTGGGGGACAGGGAATGGCATTTCTGGAGTTTCCCACCAACAATACATTTAGTTTTTCCTCTTATAATGCAAATTTTGGGCAGGCTTGGTCTTGAATGGATACTAAATTTACCATTTTATTCAATATTGAATTCTATGTTTTCCTTCTTTAATAGAGTTTATCTTTCACCTTGTCTGTTATCATATTAAAATCTCTGGCCATTATTACAAATCCCTTCCTTATTACTTTTAATTCCTTAAACACCTTTAAAAATGTGAGTATCATTCCGTGAATAAATATTAACTAATGTATCATTTTCTTTTCTCATTTCACTTATAATATAAACATTCTACCACTTTCATCTTTCCTTACTTTTTTACCTTAAATTCAGCCTTTTTAGGAATAATTGCCACCCGTTTAACTTTGAGTTCCTACATGCCTTTTCATAAATATTTGACCATGATCCTTTAAGTTTGTTAGTCCCTTTTAAAAAATGCATTTCTTGCAGAAATACAATATCCACTTTATCTTTATTTATTATTGCTTCAATTTGTTTCCTTTTGATTACATTCCCCAGACCTTTAACATTCAAAGATAATAATCTCTCAGTTTTAAACGTATCAGTTTGACAACATGCATTCTTACTGGTCCCTTGTGATTCCCGCAAATCCACAGAACAAAGCATGGGTACTTAAGACCCTTTTGAATGAATGGGCACTTAAGACCCATTCACTTTACTGAGATTTGCTGTTCCAGGAATGGAAAGGGGTTAGAACTGGTTTGCTGATATGGAACAGCTCTCCTTGGGGTCCTGGCTATGAGGGTTGCCATGATATTCGCCCATCAAAATGTACTACTTCCCAAATGGCTACTGTTCCCAATGGGAACGGCTCATGTGAGTGTCATGGGACCAAGTAGCACCTTATCATATGTATGCTCCGGAGGTGCACTGAACCCAGCCACATGCTCCAGATCGAGCCCCTGCAACATGTGTTTCTTCTTCCAAAGCAAAATATGGACTGGAGAAAGGGAGATGAGAAAGTGAAGTGCCTTTACACCTCCTGCTTCTCTGCTCCAAATTGTCCCCCCTCCAAGTAGCTTTTTCTGATACTTTCCCATCACATATAATTTTACTTGTGTTTGCTTTTAATGCCTGCAAAGCTCCTGAGACACAGAGATCTTCAGCTGGGAGTTGATGTACAGTCAGAACAGTGATGTTTCATGTACAAGCCAACATAACATCATATGGCCCCTTTATGTTTATGATTCTAAGTCATACACTGGCCACAGTTAAGAACATGTAAACCCCATTTATTTCAATGGAAGTTAGACATAGCTTAAGGTTGTAGTCCAGATTTCCTGGAGCAGGTGTAGTCCCTGTCAGAATCCCGGAATCTCAATTTGAGAAGAGGGAATAAAACTAGGGTTCGTGGGAAAGATCAAGCGTCCAGTCCATCTGAGACTTTATTGTATTACCCCAAGGTTCCCGCGATACTCACGATAATGCATGCATTACCGGGCAGGCAGAGGTGAACTCTGCTGCAAAGCTTCAATACCATTGCAGGGTATTTTATAGGTACACAGGTACAGGGCAATTGATGACAGAATGCAGAGATTACATTAAGATTCTGAGGTCATCACATACAGAACAGATAAAGAAATGTCAGTCAATCACACAATGACAATAAGATTACAATATTTCAAATTGCAGTATATTGACACTTTAATTCAGTAGCTTGAACCCATCTCCAGGTCTGCTTAGAAATGTAAATTTAAGCTACTGAGAAACTATGCATGAGCTCAAGACTCTTATCTAGACTCTAGACATTCTGAATTGGCCAGGGAACATGGAGCCTCTGGGCTAGAAAGATACTTCCTTGAATTCCAACAATGATTATTTAATCATTGTGAAGGTATACAATGTAAATTTGGACTAAATGGCCTGTCTACTGTAGCCCACAGCTAAAGGTGAGAGAAAGGAGCAGGGGAATGCCATTTTAAACAGTGACTGCTTGGTTTTGAGAAGGAAGACAGGATTTGATCCCACAATGCAGAGGCACACAGAAGTAATGCTTTCCAGACAGGATTTATCCAAATTTTCCCAACATCCCCCTGAAGCTGTTGGCCACCAGCTTCCTTCAGCCCCATCCAGATGCTCAGTGGCCAGGAATGATGAGACTTATAGTCCCAACAACAGCTGGAGAGCTACAGGTTCCTCTTCTTAATTAACAGGTTTGCCTAGTTAACTCCTATTCAAATCAACAGGACTTAAATGTCTTTTAATATTGGCTACAGAATATCCTATTATGCTATTTTATTTTTAAACACGTGAAGTTGCCTTGCTGTGCAGCTTGAAGGGAAGGTGGTCTGTGACTCTGGCTTGTTTCATGTCCTGCTAGAAAGCTGGGAAAGGAATGTTTAGAATTAAAAGTGCTAACTGTCCTAAATATAGATCCACAAACAAGTGGCTTTAGCCGTCTCTGTGATTAGTTTTCCCTCCTCAAATTAATCCGAAGGACCAGATGTTAAACCAAAATGGCTGAATATAAATAAAACCAATAGAGCAGTCTACCCCAACTTGGTGCCCAGCAGATGTCTTGGATTATAATTCCCAGAATCCCTTAGCATGCTGGTGGGGAGATTCTGGGAATTGTAGTCCAGGACATCTAGAGGGCACCAGGTTGGGATGGCTGCAATAGATTATCCTGCATATAAAGAGGAAGGGCGTGCTCTTTGAGGTCTCTGTCTCTTAACTTTGCGATGGAAGTTTAGTTTACAAAAAGATTGGGGGAAGAGGAGACCCGATTTGCTCCTACCGGATCTGCTGTGAGTCTTGTTTTGCATCCTTTATACGTTTGCTTTGAGGCCCAAACTACTGGCCACATTAAGCATGGTTTTAAAACAGCATGTTCCATGTAAGCGGTCACACAGGGACCCAATCCAGACCAGAGCCTCACATTGCTCCTTGCTCCGCCCCCACCCTTCAAATTTAAGGTGTTTGCAGTAAACAAAATTCTACTTCAAAATAAAGGCAGTTTGCTTTTTTCCCACAGAAAAATATGCTAAATTATGTGTCTTTTAAAAGAGAAGGCTTAAGCTAACCATTTTTTGCTGAGTATGGAGAGATTTACACTAATGCTGGTTTGCTGCCTTCTGCACTCCTTACATTGTGGAGAATGGAGTAACTCAGAATTGCATTCTATGAGCATAAGTTGCCATCATGTACCCCATCTAAGCCCTTCCAGAGGCAGGATGGAAAAATTCAGATGACACCTGTCAGGTTACTTACCTGCAGCCTGAAAAGCAAGGCGATTGTATGCATGCAATGGTGAGGTTCAGGCAACGCCATACTCTTGAGTATGGGTGGTTGTTGAAATGTGGATCATCATGTTGTCTGAACCTAATCATGTTAACAAAGCATAGTTTATTCATCTTAAACAACCCACAGCTCACAATCCTGCCACAAGCCATGAGTTTTCTTCATGGGTCATTTATGGTAAGCAAACCATGGTTTGTTAGTAGGGTGGGATTCAGACAGCACAACGATCCACCTTTCAGCAACCACCCATGGTTTAATGGCAACTCATACTCAGTCTTTGAGGAAATGGAAGGGGAAATGGAAGGGAAGGCAGGAGTCCATGTAAACCAGCCCATTGCAGGCCGAGCTTGCTCAGGGACCATTCAGTTTCAGTGCTGACTTGCACCGACTTCATTTGCGTCCTGTCTGACAAAGATCTCGAGTCTCTCCAGGCTCCTGCTCAGCCACCCTCCGCTTGGGGATTAGTTACAGCCTAAATAGAACAAGCCAGACTGGCTTTTGCCTCTCTCAGCCGTAATCCCCGCATATGCACAGATCCTACAACATCTGGCAAGAAGGTCATCCTGATTGCCCTTGAGCTGGTGCTGACCTCAGAAGCACTTCATGAATTTAGTGCTGCTTTCTGATGGTCACTTTAACTTCATCGCCAGTTCCAGGGTTGTGTGTGTGGGATCTCTAGAACATGTCCTCTGGTGGATCTTTTCCCGGAACCTGGCTTAGCACTGAAGAGAACTGGACCTATGGGACCTGCCCCCCAAAGCACAAATGTGGATACATTAATCCACACATGCTCCAAGTCTCTCTTTGCGTATCTTTTTGCAAACGGGGGACCCTCCTAAGGACACCCTTATTTGTAAATATATGGAGAAGGGAGAGAAGATCATTTGATCCTAGGGCTGAGAACATCTAATCCACGAGTTCTGCAGGTTCTGCTGTTTCCTTCAGTGCTTTAGGGTTCACGTGCAACACTGAAGGACATTGTGTGGCTGCTTGCTGATCAAACTACGGCTTGATTCAAGAAATACCTTGAGCAGAAGGGAAAGTGAAGGAAGTGTGTATGGGGTGGAGGAGAAGAGAAACGTGCCTTTTGCTGACCACTCTGTGATTAATGCCATCAAAGCCTGAAGTGGTTGGGGAGATGGAAGGGGATGTCCGTGCTTGTTCTGCCCCCTGGTCTCAGCTCCTTCCTGTATAAACCTGCCAGACATTGTTGTCTTTGCTTTTTCTTTCATTAGCACATCTCTCCAGAAGATAACAGGCAAAGCCTAAACTTCTGTCTTGGACTTAGGCTATCAAAGCTGCAGAAGCAGCTGGAACTGGAAGCGGAGACAAAGGGAGTCCAAATGATATAGGACTGCTCCGTCTTGCCGGAAAGTGCCTCTGCTCCAATTACAGGTTTCTCAGATCCATTTCCTCAGCTCTTGTTCACTCAAGTTGCCTGTTGTTCTCCAAGGCTAAAGTCCAAGGAAGCTCTTAGCTAATCAGTTGACAAAGAGCTCTTTGTTATGGGTTCCTCTGAAGAAATCTGACCCTCTTCTCCCAGCCCCAGGAGCTGACAACAGATCTGGATGAGTGCCAGCTCACTGAACTCTACTCCCTTCCTACCTGTTCATCTGTGGGCTTTGCGTGGGTGTAGTGACAGTCACTCTTGCAGGAATGGCTCCCCTGTTTGTAGCTCTCCTTGCTCTGAGTGTGCTTGTGGTCCATGCTTCCAAGGCCTGTCCCTACTCATGTTTCTGCTATGAATCTGCCAGTTTTGTGGACTGCCATGGCCGGTACCTGGTCCACATCCCTCATGGTGTCCCTCACAGCACCTGGATGCTGGACCTGAGGCACAACAACTTGAGTGGACTGGAGGGAGGCTGCTTGGACACTCTGTGGCTGATGAGGATCCTTCTTCTGTCCCACAACTCCATTTCTAAGATCTGGCCTAACGCATTCAAGTCCCTGAACTCCCTGGAGAAGATGGACCTCAGTCACAACCTCCTGGCCCACTTGCCACATGACTTCTCAGATGACTTGACATCCTTGAAGGACCTCAAGGTGGCCCACAACCATTTGGTGGCCTTGGGCTTTGAAAGCCTGCAGTTCTTGGAGAACTTGGAGAAGCTGGATCTGAGCCACAACCGGGTGACATCAATCGAGAGAGGCACATTCCGGGGCCTTTCCAGGCTCCGACACCTCTACCTCCAGTCAAACAGGCTCACTGTTATCCACAATGGCTTTTTCTTCATGCTGCAGAACCTGGAGGTCCTTTTGCTTCAGAGCAACAACATCAGCTCCATTGAGGTAGAGGCTTTTACTTCACTTCACAACATGAACCTTCTGGCCCTGACTGACAACCAGATCATCCACCTCAAATTTAAGACCTTCTTGAACATCCAGACCATCAGCACCCACATCCAACTGGCCGGAAACCCCTGGGCATGTGACTGTGACCTCCAACGGGTTTTTGGCAAGATCGTGAGTGTCCGACACCTTCATGTGGATGACTACGAGAACATCACCTGCTCCAGCCCCTGGCAGCTGGCAGGCTCTCCTCTCACTTCAGTGGACAGCCAGCTGTGTGTGGCTGAGACAGCCACTGTCTTAGTGATCACTGTCACTGTCCTGGTGACCGTGATTGCTGCCATTGTCATGGCAGAGAGGAACAGGAAGAAGAACCAGGAGAAGAACTGGAATGAGTCAGAGGGGCCGTTTGATTCACAGGACAAATGAGATGTGGAAGTGGTGGCGGGAAGGGTGGCAAAGGAAAAGAGATGGTATTCTGGTGTCCATCAAGCCCTCTTTTGTTCTTTATCAGTGTGGTGCTTTCCAAGTGGTGTGTTACTACTGTTCCCCTCACCCCGGCCATTGGTTATGCTGACAGGAGCTGAGGGGAACTGTAGTCCCAGACGTCCGGATGGTATCGCATTGGGTCCAGCTGCCTTATTTGCTGTGCGTAGGGTTCCAGCTCTGCCTTTCCCATTTTCTGCATCTTTCCTGTCTATTGCAGTAAGTTCATCTTCTCCCAAGCTCTGTGAGAAGGTGTTTGGAAGGGTCTGAACCGTTTTTTTGTAAGCTGTGTAGAAACACTCCCCAATTGCTTTTGGACTCTCAAACAAGCAAGTGGTCGCAATGATGAGAAAGCAGATGAGGAACAGGTGTGATGACGGTGGTGAGAAGGTAGATTCATGGAGAGAAAGGCCAGGGGAGGGGGCCTTGTCCAAGGAACCTCGAAAAGCAGGAACCAGCACCCTGGGTAAGGGTCAGGCATTTGTGGAACGGGGTGCAAGGGGTCAGACTTGCAGGGATTAGGCTGGTAGGGTGGCATGGACTGGATGGGCTCAGCAAGCGTGCCTGGCTGTGGCAGAGGGGCATGGCGGCATTATGCCCAGAGAGGCTCTCTCCGTGAAATACTCCCTATCTGGGCTGCTTTATGCTAAGCCAGACCATTGGTCCTCTTAGTTTTTGTCTACTGCAAGCTTTCCCAACTGGGCACCATCCAGAGGTTTTGGGCTGCAACTCCTATCATGCCCTACCAGGATGCTTTCTGAGGATTTTGGGAATTGCAGTCCAAGATATTGGCAGGTCCCTCACTGGAAGAAGGCTGGTCAGTCCTGCCTCTCAGTGCCCCCCGGGCTTCAGAGGTGGGGCTGGCTTAGGCAGACCTCCCTGAGATGCCAGCTGATCTGTTTGCTCTGCATGTGGAGCTGCTGACCCAGCCCTGGACTTTGCTGCCCCCCAAAGAGCAACCCACTGCACGCACCCCAGGCAGGATGCTGTCCCTGGGGCTCTCTCCCACCTCTCTCTCTCTCTCTCACTCACACACACACAAACCTGTTGTACAGATTGCACACATACCATCTCAGCATATGGGTGATTGCTGTTTATTTCAATTACTGCTCCGTACTAACACAGTAGGTAAATATTTGAAAACTGCCTACATTTCTCATCAGCAGCTTCTGTTCTCCCGGGGGTGTTTGTGAGGGTCTCTTTAAATTGATTGTGGAAGGTATTCCAACTTGTGCTTACTTGGTAGTATAGTGTGCTCTTTCCTTACAGGTTTGTGTTTAGGATTCCTTCTCCATCCTAGTGTAGGTTCTGCTGAAGAGGAGTAATTCACCCACCCTCACCCCCAAACCTTGAGACATATGCTTTTGCGGGGTACAGTAGCTTTCCTTAGCCTGGCATCTAAGCAGGTGCTGGACTACAACTCCCAATGGCCATGCTGTCTGGGGATGATGGGTGCCTTAGTCTAGTGTATTCTATTTCTTTAAGCGAGGTATAAGCTGCTTTTGGGAGTACAAACTCCCCCAAGCTGGCATGCAACAAACTATAACACCCAATGAACAATAATAGTAACAGCAAAGATATCAAAATCAACGGAGAACGCCAGGTGGCGCTATATACAAAGCAGTCCCCGTGAAGTCCTAACCGAATTAGATACCGACATAAATAAGTGAATGTTTAAGGCTTGCCTGGAAGTCTGTAATAATGCGGCCTCGCATCAGTTGGAACACGGGGACTCGAATAGCCCTTCTGATAGACATTCCCTGGATGTATTGAACTACATGTCCATTATCCCCAGCCAGGCCATCAGCTCAAGTTGATGGGAATTGTAGTCCAACATTTCTGGAGGTTGGGAAGGCTGATTCTAGATTCTAGGCTGATTTTCTCATATTAGTTGCAAATATAGCTCAGCTGAAAAGATGTTAGGAATATTTCTGGAGCAAATAATCAGTTAGTTGCTCTTATAACCAATTTGAGAACCAGTCTGAGGATGAGGATTTTTTTCCCCCTTGCAGGAGAATAAAACTATGGAGTTGCATTAGAACACTGAATTTGCACAATTCTGTGGAAGAAATGCTACAAGAGTAAAGCAAGCCACCAGAAGAGCTCCTAGCCTAGTTAGTGAGAAGACTTCTGGAAAACTCTGTCCACTGTATTAAATAATATGTATTCTTTGTAAATTATTTCATTAAATCAGTTTTGTTGTGTAACATTTGGAATTAAGTCTGTAGTTGTTGGTGGACATTTCTGTTCACCCAGCAGTCCTTGCAAATAGCAAACTGAGAACAAAACTTGTCCTAAGATTGATGTGTTTTTTGTGGCCATGAATATCCTCTTACATTTGGTCTGGGTGCTGCCCAACTCTTTAAAAAAACTTGTTCTTGTTTGCGCACACCAAAGATTGCAATCAGGGAAAATTCCAAATATCTGGAGATATTGAAGATGAGAAAGTTGGCCTTCAGTTTAAGGCCACAGTAGAAGTCTCCTTATACAAAATCAGAGCACTGGTCTACCCAGTTTAGTGTTGTCAAACCTGATGAGGTGGCTTTCTCTTGAGATCTCCAAGCACCAGAGCAGATCAAATGGAATCAGTTACTTCCATTATACAAAGCCTAGTCAGGGATCCTGGAATCATGTGGGTTTTTTGAAGGTAGCAACTGGGCATTCTGGGCAGTCCAAGATTGAATTAAAAAAGATCTCTACTATACTGAAAAGGAAGACACACCCTCAATATTATAGAAGGTACGAGCCCTGCAACAAAATGTTGCAGTACAAAACGGTTCCCATCTGGCTTGCAATGTTCTCTTCAGGATACTCCCTCCCTATTCAGTGCCCTCCCCCTGAAAACAGACATTCAGAATTTTGTGGTCACTGAAAATGGAGGACGTTTTGCTTGGTCCTCCTTGGGATGTTGCTGGAACCCTCTTCTTTTAATGCCTCCACTCCCTAAACATTTTGTGTACATCCTGCCAACCTTGGCACTGCCTTAAACACAGTGAGAACTTCCCTCTTATTTCCCAGAGTTATTTCACTGTTGGCCCTCAGCAGCTGGATGTGCTATGAGAAGGGACAGGGTTATAAAAGCTGGATGCAGGCCGGCCTCTCCACTTGGTCTCCGTCGTGCGCACACACATTCGGCGTCCTTCATTAGAGCTCTGCTGGGAGGGCCCTGCAAGAAAGATGGTTCAGTTGCTGGTTCTATGAAAGAGGCCGCAACTTCTTTCTTTGGTCACAAAGCTTTGTTCTGGCAGGAGTAGACTCACCTGGAATCTGCATGTGGCACTTAGATCCCTCTCCTTTTAGCATCCCCCTACTCAGCTGCTTTGATTTCTCTTCTTCGCCTCCTAAAATCTATACTGTACTTGTTTAATACCAAGGAGATGTCTTTTTTAAATTACTGTACAAACTGTGGCTAAACATGAATTATACTTCCTGGAGGAACAAGCGTAATGTTTCCATTTCTAGATTAAATTTCCATTTAAAAATGCGCAGCGCAAACAAACATGTTGCTTGGCATTTCTGGAAGTTCTGATTTCAGCTTATGTTTTATCGATTGTTGCCTGGAGCGAGACAACAGCGCCGTCTCCCTGCAGTGGCAGCTGTCTCCCACCAGAGGGAGCACCTCACCCTGCCTTCCTGACCATTCCACATGCTTTGGAACCGTTTCTTACCTCCGTTTTTCCTCCATTGGTGCGCTCCGGCATCAGATGCCTTGTAATAGGTTGGAGAACATCTTCCAAGAAAAATGATGTCTAATCAGCAGGAGGTATTTAGCTGTTGGGGCCCACAGGAAATGATACCAACAAATCTTGTGGTCCCTCAACAACTAACAGATTTATTATGACATAAGTCTTGATGGCATACGCCTCAATAAATCTGCTATTATTGTTTTTTTAAGATGCCACAAGAGTCTGTATTAGACTTGCTACGGCAGACTCACACACCGCTGCCCCTCTGGAATTTGTCACAACAAGAGTGACGGGAGGAGAGGGAGGCATCCTGCCCCGGCTGCTTGACTGCACGTGCGGCTGCCGCGAATTGCGTGCAGGCTTGCCCAGTGTTCCTTTCGTCCAGTGAGGGGAGGCTTAGCTGCATCCACGCCACGTCTTGTGGCTGCCACCCTTTTCCGTCCTGTGGTCAGGGCTGGGCTGGCTTAAAATGTCTGGCTGCCTAAGGCAAAGGACGAGATGGTGTCCTGCCACCATTTCGGACCGAAGGTGGTGCTACTGGTAGTTGAATTTCGCTTCAGTGCTGGCAATGGGAGAGTCCCTGAGGGCCCCCCCATTTCTGCACACCCCCTAGAGCATTTGGGGCAGCTGCTGAGTAAGAGGTCCTCCTGCCAGTGGAAAGCAGCCCCCCTGGAGGAACCATCTTCTCCCCTGGCTGCGAGGGGAGAACAGGCAGCTGCCAGTGGTGGGTTGGGTCCAGGGCCTGTCTTCCTCGAGAGGAACGGTTCTGCTCGCAGAAATTCCTCTGCCTGAAATTTGAGGATCCCACCTCCTGCCACCCCACAGCTCACCCTGTCTTCTGCATCTATGTAGAGCATTCTCAGGTGGGAGGGCTGCCATGGGGAGTGAGGCAGGAGCACTAGCTGTTGCTGGTGTGGTTGATCCAGCGTGAATTGAAATGCTTTTAAATCAAATCAATCAATCAATCAATAGGTTATCGACCTCCCAGGTTCACTGCACAGTCAGGGGATGCACGGCCCTCGCCTCACCATTAGCTAAGCTGGCTAAGGCTGATGCAGTCTCCCAGCATCTGGCTGGACGCATGGCCCTCTCCCTGGACTTGCAGCAAACTCATCTTTCTCAGTTTTTATCAAGACAGGTAAGACTGGCTGGACTTGGGGAACGGCTGGGGTTGGGGGGGGGGAGGTTCCACTAAAGTGGTCCTTCCTAAGGAGGCGTTCGAAGGGTTGTGTGTCCTCAGGTGAAGGCAGAAGAGGAGACAGCCAGATCCTAATAGCCTGGCTACTTAAATGCAAGAAGGCAGAGGAGGACACCAATTTGCATCACATTTGTGCAAATTTAGGAAGAAGAAATGGGATTCATTATCTTTAAACGGACTTGGGCCAGGCAGTCCACTGGACGGGACACACCTTCACAGAAAGGATTGTATTCTGCCAGCTCTCCATGAAAGAGGATTTTTCTTTGTAAAGTAGGACAGTGGCAGGACCCTTGATTCTGCCTCGATCCTTTCAGGACCCTTGATCCTGAACAGATCCTAGGGGGAGAGTTGTTGCAGCACACCCACCCTCAAAGGCCCGGCACCCTAAGGGAAAAAGAGCAGAAGGTCAGAGCAGAGAAGGCATGGATGAATTCCATTTTGTGCCTTCTTTTAAATACCCAGTGCTACCTTCAGTGCACTGTACTGAAGAGGGGAGGGTCTATACACACCCCAAGCAAGACTATAAGCTTCGTTTGCTTATGCAGCTCTGATACCTGCTTAACCATTTGTGGAAAGGCAGATTTTTAGACATTCTGGCCAGGTTTGCTTGTCAGTCGGACCCACTATGCATTCATAGCTTTGCGGTACCTAAAGGATTGCCTTCTCCCATATGTATCTAGCCGCTCTTTAAGATTTGAGTCAGAGGCCCTTTTTAAAGGAGCATCCCCCAAAGAAATGAGGGGGATAACAAATAGAAGGGCCTTCTCGGCGGTTGCCCCTCTCCTCTGGAATGAGCTCCCCAAAGACGTTCGCCTGGCAGCCTCATTACCACTGTTTCAGCACCAGGTGAAAACTGTTCTATTTTCTAGGTATTTCAATAATTAAATTTTATTATGTATATTTCACATTGTCCAAGTTTGTGAAATTAACCGATATTTTAAAGTGCTGTACTTATCCTTATTGTAACACTGTTGTATTTCATGGAGTCTTTTATTGACTGCTATTTTTAATGGAATCTACACCACTCAGAGTCCTAAATCGGACTGCAGCTTGCAGTATATAAATTTCAAAAATAACTAAACAAATTATGCGCCGATCACCTTTTCGAATATGTCAACCTTGGCAAGCGCATCTGACAGCGTGTCATGTTGCGCCAACCCGAGTTAGATAATCCTCACATCGCTTGCATTGCCTGGGCTAATTCGGCACCGGCCGTGGCGTGTGCTTGCCTTGACCGGCATGTTAAAAAATGGCGCACAGTGTAGGATGCAACCCCCCCGCCCCGTCCCACATGGTGGCTTATCCTGACATGCAAACAGGCCCTCCGTAAATCACGCCCTGTCCTCAAAGCTCTGACCATAGAAACACGAGAGAGTTTGGTGAAAGATTAACAACTGTTGCTGCGCGGCAGACTCATGAGGGCAAAAGCCAGTTTGATCAGATGCAGGAAATCTTCTCCTTCAATCAGCTATCTGTCTACCCACCTATCTCTCCGCCTACACATACACACACTGGGGTAAAGACTGGCGTTAACTGACAAGAGATTACCCAAAGTACAGTCTGTGACAATCCAATTGCAGCTACAGTATCATTTCCTGCCGCTATAACCAGACGTTTTGCATACATTTAAGCGCTGAATTGATACAGGCTGGTCTTCTGGCATTTTTCTGCCACTCGGCTCCCAACATGTACATTTGTTCTTCCTTATGACTGTATTTATATGCCCTGGCCAACGGAGGGTCATGCTCTGAGCATCTGATGAAGCAGTTTTTTCAGCACACAGAAAAATGGTGCCTCAAGACTCTCTTGAGTTTGTACGAGGCCGTTTTGGAGGGCAGAGCATGGAATTAGTGGAGCAAATGCTTCAAATGGAAAAAGGTTCGCCCTAAATGGAATTTTCCTTCCTCTGGCTGGCTATAAGCAAAAGCACAGCTGGGAAGCGATTCATACCAGCTCCTTTCAGCCCATATTCCAGAATCCAAGATTAAATCTCCCGCATCTTTGCATTTGTATTAAGAGCAGCGGCATGGCTTCCCATACTAGTTTAGAAGGGCAGTGGGGGACACTTAAAATAAAAAGTCCTACATCCTGGCCTCCAAGATGCTAGTTTCAGTGTTAAAAGCATGTCCATTCGAATATATCTTTCTCATCAGGTTACGAATCACCTTGGAAGGTTTTGCATCAGGATTACAGGGCGGGGAAGAGCTTCCCAGATAATAGGTTAAAATCCATTTTCCCCCATGCACCCAGTCCATGGTGGCTGACTTTTTATTTAATTGACTGGCAACCTGACCACAGATTTCCAGCGTTTCTCTCAATTTAGCTCTTATTTTTTGAAGAGAAATGAGAGACAATATATAGTGGGGCATTTTGTTTTGAATGAAGTGAATTTCCTTTCACTTTCTCTCCACCCCTTTAAAAAAATCTTCCTTTACTTTTTTGTAGCTCAGTGTGGTCTAGAATACGTAAGGAGGGAGCATGTATGGACTGTTTGTCTCCAACGTGATGCCCACCAAGTTCCCTTCTGATTTTTATTTTAATTATTTCTTAAGGGTTTAAAGATTATTTTTAATAAATGGGAAACTGGCATGCAGCAAATCAGAGCAAATGCTTCCCATGGCAACCAGGTTCGAATGGGTAAGACCTGCTGGATCAGCCCTTTTGTAGAAGTGCCCAGAATTCCAAATAGGCCCACCAATTCCAAGATTACTCTGATGTTTGTGTGTTTATTGTGTGTCTACGGAAGTGAGGTGGGTGACTACCAGAGACAGAGCCTTCTCAGTGGTGCTGCCACACAACAGGCAACAACTCACACAGCTCCGCTTGCTCTATCTGTTCTATTACTCACAGCTTATGACTAATATGAGCAGTACTCAGTTTCTTAAAAGGCCAATGCCAGTTTGTGGGCCTAAATAATTGCTCTTTCTCCATTCAGGGTTCACAGACATTGCAGATTTTCCAGGTGAGGGAGTAGTACTTCATATCTATTCAGATACTTTTGTTATATTAGTTCTTTCCATCTCTTTCTTTAAAAAAGGGGTCCCCGGGGTGGAAATATGTCCTCCTTCACAGAGAACTGTCCTCTATTTGAAGGCTGCCCCAGGACTATTGGGGCAGGGTAGAAAGGAGATAGGCTGGTAGAAGGGAAATCGACGATGTTTAGTTCTTCAACCTGAGAAGACTCTGGGCAAGACCAGTGGTCAGGAATGCTGGAAGCTGAAATCCACAACTTCTGGACTTGACTTTCTGCCCCTTAGTCTACCTGCCTCTGGCTCTCCTGTCCACTCGCAATTCACAATTTGCAGATAAAAGTTATTGCTCATCTACAGCTGGCTCCCTGGTCAACTGCCCAGTGGTGGGATGCACTGCATTTCTCTCTCATTATAATAATTGCTGCTCAGTTGACATCTATTCGTGTAAATGATCATGTGCTGATTTCATATAAATCTCTTTCGTCCGCTTTCTCGATGATGCATTTCCTCTCTTCGGGCAAACCTGCAAGTGGCATCACTGGAGCCCCAAAAGGAGTGTGGTTAACTGAGCAAGCTGCGAAAGGAGGACAGCGACACAACAGCAACGACAACAACAAGCAAAGACCAACAATACCTGGAAGAGCTTTCCCCTCCTACATCACCATGCAGCCTCCTCCCTCCACTTACAGAACTACAGTTTATTGATGGTTGAAGGTATGGTTTTATTTTACTTTAAACTGGGTTGACATAGTGCCTGATGCAAGAACATCTTCACCAGATGTGGGAAACCTACAGACCCCCAGTGTTGCTGAACTCCAACATCTGCCCAGACAGTCCGGCCAGTGGTCTGCAGGGGGCTGTTCGCATCGCTTCCACACTCCTGCACTTCACCGTAGCAACCCGAGAAATCCAGAAGTTTAAAATGCAATCGCATCCCATTGTGGGGTCAGCTGGTGCTTAGGAGAGGAGCCCCGAGTTCATTTTCCGTAGTTTGGCAGGCAAGTTATCATCTAGCTTCACCCCCAAGGTGTGTGGGGCTGGAGGAAACCTCTGCTGGAGTTCCAGGTTGCCGGTGGACCGAGCCAGTAACTCTGATTTGGTTTTGAAGGCTGTCGACTGAATCTTTTCACCCCCGTCCTCAATGCTGCAAACCGAACTGATTTGCTGGATCCTCAGGAGGTCGCCGGTGCTGCATGTTTTCTCAACATTGGCAGAGCAGAGACTGAGGACTCCTCTTTGGAGATCCCCCTTCCCGGAGCAAATCTTTTGGAGTTTGCTGGGAAGCCGGCTGCTTTTCTCTTCAAAAAGATCGAGGCAGTCCAGGGAGGAGATCTTTTCCCTTCTGCTCCTGTTGCTCCCCGTTGGGGTGTTCCATGGCGATGGGAGAGCTAGGTTCTCCTCCTGCTCTTTCACACTGTATGGCGGAGTCGGTACCTCAAACGTCCCATGAAACTGGGAATAATCGACACGGAAAAAGCCATCTTCCAGCGACATCACTGGGAGGAATCGGTGGCCCCAGAGGACTTCATCTTCTGTGTACGAAGTCCTGGCTTGGCATGTCATTCCTAAGAGAATAAACGGACGATGCTGTCAGGGCCGGATTTGTGCATTAGGGAGCCGCACTTCTGCTCACTTCCCCCTGCCCTGCGTTTGACTGATCCTCTCACACATCCTTCCCTGGCCTCCAAAGGATCCTCATGGCCCCGTCCCCAATGTGGTGGCTCCAGGGCTTGTGTGTGGGTGTCTGTGGAGAGCTCAAGCACGTCACTTTCAGTGGGGGCCCCTAACCTGGAAGAGTTGGGACATGCAAACGGAAAATTCTCTTAGTGACGCCGCACCTTCTTACTGCGTGCTAAGTGGAAATGGGAACCCCCGTGAGGGCAGAGGTCCTTCTGCTGATCTCGAGGAATTCAGCCAAAGCGCAGCCTTGCCAATGCCTGGGGTGAGCCCAGCTCTCCCTCGGCATCAAAGCTCATAGTTTCCTTTGAACCTGTGTCCCTGGATGTTCACAGGTTGCTCGTGCTTGTATCTGCCAACCTTTCCAAACTTTCTCAGTCCATGCTTGTCCTGTTCAGCTGCCCTTACATTTCACGTTGCCTCCCCAATCCTGTCTCTCATTCCCCTTCCCCGCTTCCTCTTTGGAATCCCACCCCATGCACGAATGCAGTCAGTTTGGGTATATGCATTTATTTATTTAACCCGCATGACACGGATCCATGTGTTCCGACCTGTAGTTTGAGAGCCACACTGTATGTCTGAATGCACAAAAGCCCAGTGTGGTGTATGGTGAGAGCAGTGGGCTGGGATTCAGGAGATCCTAGTCCTAGTTCCTACCTGGCTATGAAGTTCCCTTTGGGGCAGTCACTGAACCTCAGCCTAGCCTACCTCACAGGAGTGTTGTGAGGGTAAAATGGAGAGGAAGAAAAGGATCAGGGAGGCCCCCCTGGCTCTTTCCAAGAGAGAAAAAAAGGTGGGATATAAATGTAGCAATTACAGATTCTTCCTGTATTTTGCTAAAGGAGACACCACTATCAAGATTTGCTAATTCCAGTTGCATCCACATTAAAGTAGGTGGGAGTGGTTCATAATCTGTTCTTTTAAGGCTGCTTCTGTTCTCTTGAAGGAGGACACTTGGGTGCCTATGTCATTTAAACGGAAGAGCTGTATTGCAAGAAATTAGCTCTGGAGATTTGTTTTAAAGCTATTCAAGAGTCATGTGAGCTCGTGACCTTCTTGTGAACTTGGTTGGCCTCTGTGTGAACAAAATGCTGGACTAGATGGAGTTGTAGCCCAGAGCAAGTGGAGGCTCCAGACTGCCTACCCCAGAATATGGTTTTTGCACTGCCCATCGGCATAGTAGGACATGTCTGTTTATTGTAAGACCGTCCTGAGACCTCGTTAGCAGACAGGATATCAAAGTTTTAAATAAAAAAACATGTCTGTGAGTGCCTGGATTGGGATGGTGAAGGCATGCTTAGCCCCGCCTGTGCAATTGCCCGAAAGGTATTCCTGTTAGAGAAAGTGCCTTCTGAGCTTCGTCTACTCCCAGGACTAAAGCAACTAAATAAATATACATTTCGCACGCAAGCAATAAAAGCTAAATTTCATGACCTGTACAAATGATGCAAATGAAACCTATTTCAATATCCTCGTTTTTGCATAACAAGTACTTTTATTTTGCTTAATGTACACTAGAGCTATTTCATTTTGCATAATGTGTTCTTTCATTTTGCATCATGTATAATGTAGAAAGGTGAGCCAATTTTTTGAAACTATAGTGCATGATTATTCAAGTTTCGCCAGTTCTGGATAAGGTGAGCAAGGAGCTATGCAGAGTGGTGGAGACCCGTCACCAGATGTTGGAGATCATGTTTAGCCACCTCAGTCTTCTTAGATACTGGCAGAGCATTACCCACACACCTCCAAATCCATCTTTACAGCCTTAAAGCTGCTACTTCAGAACCCATTTTCTTACTTTTTAAAGAGCAAGTTTCTAGTCCTTAAGGCAGGAATGGGGAAATTGTAACTCTCCAGACATTACTGGACTCCAACTCCAACCAGCGCTGGCCAGCATGGGCAATGGTCAGGGATGATGGGAGCAGCAATCCAGCAGCATTTGGAGGACCACCTGTTCCCTGCCATCTTATGGATCAGAAACTGGTTTTACAAATAATAAAGCCAGGATTCTGCAGGAGTTGAATTCCAAGCCCCAGACCACCTTGTGTGGTGCTGTGGAATTGCCAAGCACACAGACACTGAGCTGGCAGGCACAGAAAATGTTGCTTTAAGTAAGTAACTGCCTGAAATTGAAATAAGCCCAGTAAGAAATCTGGGGCTGGCTACCAGAGGACATTAGTCACATATTAGTCCCAGTGACTTCCTCTGCATTCAAGCCATGTATTGGAAGAGATGAAAAGGGCAGGATATGGTTGAGGGTGGTGGAGAGCAGACGGGCTAAATTTGCATGGTTCACCTATCAGTTCTTTTTCCTGTACAGGTAAAGACCCGAGTTGCTGCTCCATATGGTCTCAGGTGGTCTCCTAGCAGTCTATATTGACGTAGCTACATTTGCTTAGGCATGTTTCATTAACCCTTTTGAACAACCCCTTTCAGAGGTGGAGATTCTAAATGTCGTGAGATCAAATGGAGAAGTGTGTGAAGAAAACTTCCCGTGCCCCTGGGGGTTCGGGGCTTTTAATGAGCCAGGTCACGGCTCCAGAACCCATTCCAAATAGCATCCAGGAGCCAAAGCAGACCTTACGTTAAATAGGTGCCCAGCAGCTACATTATATATCTATATTTGTGTGGGTGCACATGTGCAAACACACATACTGTGAAGTAGGTGGAGAGGCCCCTATCCAGACGGGGACCCTAGCAGGGTGAAAGGGCTTTTAAGATCTGGACTGAATCCCAGCAACTCCTGTAGAGTAAAACATGAAATGAGACAGAACTTTTCTGCACAAGGCCATTAATCCACTGCATCTGTTTTTGTGGTTTTGCTGCAAGACTGAGTTCTGAAGAGCATTTCCTTTTCTGCTTTTTTTCCTTCTAATGTAATGCAACTTTCACATACCAAAAAAAAAAAAAAAAAAGTCTCAGAAACCAAATGGGATAGGCTTAAGGCCAGATCAGCTGTCTTCAATATGACACCTTGCCTTGCTGTCTGGGGATGATGGGAGTTGTAGTCCCAACACATCTGGGGGAGGTTCTGGCTTGGGGAAGGCTAGGAGAGATTATTAATATATACTGGCAACACAAATCAGCTTCAGCTGCCCTGCCGATGCCATTTAAATTTCTCCGGACCTGATTTAAACAGCCACCTGGGGACGCATAGACACCAGAGAAAGTGCAGTTTGGGTCTCTTCAGACATCCTCTAATCCTTCATTTTAGAGCTGCTGCTGCTGCTAAGCAAAGACTGGCAGCACAACCTGAGAGCGAGTCCTAAAGTGGGCCAGCGTGCTCCCACCAGGGTCCCTGCCCAGCCCCTCCTAGTTATAAAATTTGTTTCTTACCATGCTTCAAATGATCCTTTTTAAACTGCTATACTGCAAGTGCTTTGCTCCAGCACCAAATATACCTGGGTTCAAAAGAGCAGCTTTGTGTTCTGGATCTTAGATCCTCACCTCTGCCTTGTACTGAGGCTCTTGGTAAGTTTACTTTTCATCTCACCAGTTTATATTTTGGGATTTGTGTGTTTTGCAGCTGGACTGGCCCACCATCGCAGCCAGTTAGGGAATGGGCCATGTACCCCCATGGCACCCCATTGTGAGAGCATTCCGGACAGGCGCTCTGATCCAGCTAGGGAGTGGACCCTTGCTTTCAAGTGCTCAAAGCAATTTGTGAGCTTTATTTTGTTTAATCCCTGCTCTGTAAGGTAGGACAGTATTATTATCTCCCTCACTGCACACTACCCCAGGCGGTATGTAGGAGCCCCCAGTAATGTTTTGATGAAGAGGTAAAATGGTGCACCGCTTACCTGTTGTTTCCACGATGCCTTCCAGGATGACAACAATCTCAAACTGCTCGCTCCTTAGTGATCTTTGGGAGAGGGCAAAAAAGGGGCTCTTGTCATTGATTTCATGGCAGATGGTGAGAGGAGAAACGAGGAACAGTTGGTCAGCCCCAGTTCCGAATCCAACATCAAGCTCGCATTGGTCTAAAGGCAGGAATTCACCTTCTGGTGTTTGTCGTGACTAAAGACAAAGGAAGAGGGGGAGAGAGAAGAGTCCCAGTGAACCGCAAACAAATCTCTCATCAGTCAAGCAATGGCAACTTTCCTGGTGTCGGATGGAGCACCTCACAAACAGCTGGTGCTCAAAACAAAGATCCTTGTGAGGCCTTGGACAAGGTGGATCGGGTCCAGTTTGTCAGTCATGTGCCTTTCCCTCCAAAGGGGATGGAAGAAATCATGTGACACAGACCTCTGTGGAGTTGGATGTTTAAATGGAATTCCGAGATCCCTTTTAAAAGGAAATGGCTCACAGTCTTTCAGAGTCTAATCCAAATTAACAATATAATTTTAAAAGAAGCAACCAACTCAAGCAAATACAAAGCACAGACGCTGCACAGTCTCTTGCTGGAGGGTTTGGAGCAGCCTTCAGGTACCTATTTAGTACCTTCCATGCTGGTTGCAGGGCCAGACCTGTCATTAGCAAGGATGGGAGGGGGCACTGGGAGCAACTTCTTGGCTGCTGAGAGATGGGAGCTGCCTGACCACACAACCTGACTTAGCCTGGGCCACAAAACTAGCTTGCTGACTCAGGTGTGCTACACACTTCAACCCTTTAGCAGAGCTGAGGTGCATTTCATCTGCCAGTCCTTTTGGCTTCTAGATATGGGAAGGGATGAAGGCACCATCTTGTCCTCTGCCCCCAAGCAAAGTGGCTTGGGGCCAGCCCTGTCCGGGTGTATTCACATTCAAGCTGAACTGGACACTGCCAGTGTAAACCCTGTTCAGGACCAGTTCTAGGTTTGACATGGTCCAGTGATGTGCTGGGCATACAGAAACTGGCTGTACATGGGGAGGGGAGGCAAAGCCATTGCATCAGCCCTGATGAAAGACTGCTTCATTTTTTCCTCCTCCCTCCACATCCATTTTTCTATGTGCATCTCAACTTTTTAGACTGTAAGCCTATCGACAGAGACTGTCATGTCTAACGGACTGTATGTAAATTATTCCAAAAGCTTTTCAACTGAGTAGAGGGATTAAAAAACACTCTAAAGGCTCGTTTTTATTTTTGCAAGGTGACTCCTGGAGTAGGATGGAAAATTCACTGCCCTGGAGAATCCGTGGGAAGGAATTTTGTACGCGAACATTTCTGTGAGTGATCCCCGAGCCTCTTAAATGCAGGGCTCGGAGACCCATGCAAACTGGATGCTTCCTGTGCTTGCCGTCCCTCCTAACCATCCTTACTAATGCCAACAGGTCAGGCTGCAATTCTCTGAAAGTACTGCTCCGATAATTAGCAGGGAAAGATGAACAAGGTGTTTACAGTAGATAATGGACATCAAATTGGCTTCAAAAAATTAAAAACCGAGGTGGGGGTGCTGGGGCTAATGAACATGGAGGAAGGAAACAACTGGAATATATAAGTGCCATGGCAAGAAATGTGGACCAATGTGTTGAAATGGGCTGATACCAACATTTCCAAACCTCCTCGGCTGCTTCTGAAGTTCTTCATTTGCCTTCTTGGCCGCAAAAGCACCAGCATGCTTGCCGAGCTCTATTAACCAGACATGTGTTTCCCTGCTTTGGTCACTGTTGGGATATGTCATTTGTACTAAGTAAGATGTCAGTCCCAGCTCCTTCTCAAGTCATCGTGCAATTCATCTGCTAACCAAATGTGATGTTATCTGCCTAACGACCAAGGCTCACACACACGCATACACGGACTTAAAGGGGCGGCTTCCTAGTGGCTGATGAGAGCAGCCAAGGACAGCAGTCGACGTCTTGCAAACTGTTCCCAAGAAACATGCTTGAAGACTGATGACTGACAGCAGAAACTCTTTCTTCTTACAAGCTGGAAAGAGAATGACAGGCAGAGCTGGTGGCTCCTGCAACAAGGCTTGGAAATGGGAATGATAACTGACTAAAGTGATTTCTGTGGATGGTTTCACAGCATCATGTCTTAATGCAACAGCGACACTGTCACCTGAATGCTGTGGGGAGCTGCGACAGAGTCAAGCTCCTGTTTTCACATATTGGGCACCAGCTGTCTGTGCTTCCAGGTGTACAGAGCACAGATGCTGCGCAGTCTCTTGCTGGAGGGATTGGAGCAGTCTTCCTTAACTGGGTGTCCTCAGATGTGTTGGACTGCAAATTCTATCATTTCCCATCCGGTAAAGCCAATGATCAGGGAAGTTTAGAGCTGTAAAACACAACCCCTGAAGAGCACAGCAAAGACTAATGGAAAGAGAGTGACTAAGAAAGAGGCAAGAAATTCAGTGACTGGGTTCAGACAACACAATGAGTATGGGTTGTTGAAACGTGGGTTATTCTGTTTTCTGAAACCAGCTACACTAATAAGCCATGACTTAAGTACAAACAACCTATGCAAAGAACCCATGGTTTGTTGTTGGGTTGTGAACTGTGGGTTGTTCATCATGGTTTGTTTTCTCGGTTGGGTTCTGGTAACACAAGAGCCCACGATTCCACAACAACCCATACTAAAGCCTTCAGTGTAGGTTATCATGTTTTCTGAACCCACACCGTTTCAGCTTGATGCTATATGTCAGGGGTGCAGTGGCTAAATTTGGCCACCTGAGACTGCCCAGGTGACCATGTCCTTCTCCCCTGCTCCCACACCACCTTTCCCCAGCCACCAATCTGCTTGTTTTGAAGTTTCCTGCACCTTCCCAATCCTAAAAGGTTGAAATGGCTCTTTTAAGACTGTGTTACTGGAAGTAAGAACTTTAAGCTAAAACATAGTAGAATTTTCATCATGTCCCTTTTGTCTTTAGCCCCACTGATCCACTGCTGGAATGCAGTCCTCCAATCACACCAGAAGTGAAATTCAGCCCTTGGATTGAAAGAAGCTTCAACTTCTGCTAAAAATGTTTCCTTGGTAGTAAGTCCTTCTGATTTCTGTAAGTCTCACCCCTCATGTAACTTTCTGCACCTTTGCCTGTACCTTTTCCAAGGCAGAAATAAGGAGACGTTGCCATTTTACCCTAACCTTTCCGGTCCTGGGAGGCTGCAGCTATTTTTTCCAAGATTATCGTTAGCTTCAGCAGCAGCTTTTCTCAACAGGCTTCTTGACAGAGGTGGCCACCATGTCTTTAGTCCAGCCAAGGGCAGAGGTAGGAATGGCGCGGTGATGGGTTTACCTCCTTTCCCCTCCTGGATAGAGTGTGGAGGGACTGTCAAGATAAGCTATTAATGTTGCATTTCTGTGCCAGGGACAGGCAATCAATTTCTGGTGGTCCAGATATTGTTGGATTGCAACTCCCATCAGCCGCAGCCAGCATAGCCTGTGGTAAGAAATGATGGGAGCTGCTGTTTAACAACATCTGTAGGGCCACTGGTTGCTGGCCCCTGTTCCATGTGTGTACAGTTGCATTCAAGTACGTTTCACTTAACAAGAATTATTTTCGGGTAAACATGCCAAAGATTTGCAAAGAGATCAAGCCAGTCAATCTTAGAGGAGATCAACCCTGACTGCTCCTTAGAAGGCCAGATACTGAAGATGAAACTCAAAATACTTTGGCCAGCTAATGAGAAGGAAGGACTCCCTGGAGAAGAGCCTAATGCTGGGAACAATTGATGGCAAAAGAAGAAGGGGACAGCTGAGGATGAGGTGGCTGGATGGAGTCACTAGGGCAGTGGGTGTGAGCTTGAGTGGACTCCAGAGGATGGTGGAGGACAGGAGAGCCTGGAGGAATGTTGTCCATGGGGTTGTGATGGGTTGGGCACGACTCTGCGACTAAACAACAACAAAATGCCAGAGACTGGTCTGTGAGCCTCTTTTGCAGCTCCTCTGTGGGAGGAAAGTGGCATGGGTGGAAAAGCTTGGCTGCTGCGAGCTCTGAGGAGTGTGTGCGTGGCCATGTGTGCACACACAGTGCAGAGGGGAAAGAATGTCTTTCACATTCTACTGATTAGGTGGAACAGTCCGTGTGCCCTGAAACATGCTAGCCAAAGCACTGGTGGCAGTAGACCAGTCACTCATGTATTCATTCTGCCACCTTTCACACGTACACTTTTTGTGCTTTTAAAAAAATGTTTTGTTCTTGGCTTTGAGCAACTGCCTTGGAAGAAGAGGCAAAGCAAATCTCATGTTGAATGCATAAATAAAATGCATTTCTCCCTTATTAACAATTTCATTGAGCTGGTGAACAGGATTAACGCAGCATGCAGCCGCCATGTGTCAAGTTCAAAAGGCATTCCCTCGAAAAGCGGCTCTTTAATTCAGATGATTTAGTGGGTGCATGGAAACATTTTCTTATTGCTATGAATAGAAATCTGGCAAGGAGGATTCAGCACTCATACCCCTGGGCTGGCCGAGGAGCCCATGTACAAAAACATGTGACGCATGAGGTTTCTTCCTTGATCCAATTCTGGAGCTGGCACAAGCATCAGGAGATCGGCAAAAGCACTGATTAACTATTTGGTGAGGGGATTAATCCGGGCCTTTCTTTCTCTTCCTTCCCTCCCAAAAACACGAGTTTGGCTAGTTCCCTGACTTGCACTGGGCTCTATTTCCATGTCGAAATGATTAACAACTTTAATATTATTCATGCATAAGTCTAAACTACAATAGAATGTTTGCAGTCTTTCCTTCCTAGCAGGAATGTTTCAGGATGCTAGTCACCTGCAGCCCTCCTCCAGGATAGGAAAGAAAACTGGAAGATGCTCGAGGAAAATATTCGACTTCCTGCTTTCCTCCCTTGGGGGTGGCCCGCCCAAGAGGCAGGGTGAAGCCCCTTCCTCAGGCAGCAGAATGGCGGTGGTTTGGAACTGCATCACTCCCCGGGTCCACTCCAGAACGCCCTCGTAGCTGCTCTTTCACTGTGGCATTTGCTCTAGAGCAGCCTCCCCCAACCTTGTGCCTTTCAGACATGTTTGGACTGCAACACCCAGGATTCCCAGTCAATGGCCCTGCTGCAAGGGAATTCTGGGAGTTGTACTCGAAATGCCCCTGAGGGCCACCACGTTGGGGAAGGCTGCTCTAGAGAGGCTACTGGGTCAAATCTG